TGTTGGGTAGGTGGCGCAGAGGGTTTTGTTACAGTAATAATTAGGAATGCGGTAAATTGTCGTAAAACTCATGATAATCTTTTTCTAGTCCTAATTTTAAGATTTGCAAGTGATTAAACTTTTCATCTTTTATTGGAAGTCTCTCTTGATAAAGCGTTGGTATTTTCTCGTAAGGCACAGCTATAATTTTCTGCAATCGCACTGGTAAGTCTTGCCACATATCGGAAAGCTGAACTTTATATTGGATGACTCCATTGGGGTTATACTTTAATGCTCTAAGATCTGTGACTGTAGGATCACCAACCTTTCTTCCAGGGCGAATAGATGATAAGAAGTTTAACGAATTGAATTTTTTTTAAAAATCATGAGAAAGGTAATGCACTTCATATGGTTTTGGAGTTTTTCGGGCTGCTTGACAAATTTGTACATAATCGGCTGGTACATTGATGTCAACACCTCTTAATTTTCTTTCGATTGTGCTATGCATTGAATCCACTTCCATCTGGGTGTGACCGCGTTCAAGATATTTTTGGGTAACAACAAAACCATTAGCCACTGAGAAATTTAACAGGGCATTTGCCAATGTGGAATTCCGATTTTGATAATTGCATCCGTCACTGTACAAAATAATATCTTTTTCAGATTCTGAAAACGTTTTTTTGATAGTCTCTAAATGATGTATAATGATTGAGGAAAATTCATCTGCAGTTAATTTCCCTTCCGTTTCATTCCACATGTAACAAATTCCATCTTTGTTTTGAAGATCAAAAAATGTCATGTTATGCACTGCTAGCTTAGTTTTGTAATACATTGCTGAAACGTTTGTCTTAGGAGCAAGTACTGACTGAAGATCCATTGTAAAAGTCTTATTTGATGATTCTTTATCTCTCTGTTTCTCAGTTCGGGCTTCTTCTTTTCTTTTTATGTGTGCATTATAAATTATTTCAGAGATATTATTTGTCTTAAAACCTACACATATATCGCAAGCATCTTGCAAATAGACTTAAATTTTTGCTCTTAAACATTTGCTTAAAAGTTGTTTTGCTTAATGGAGTTCCACTTTTTCGAATACACCAGTCATTTTTATATAATTCGTACAAATCAGATTTTGACTTCCAAATAGGCTCTAGATACATTTTTTGAGTTGATGCTCTACAATAATGCGACTCCATTTTGGGTAGCTCTTCGAAAAAGTCGTTTAAGATTGTCATGTCTCTTGATCGCTTCTTTTTAGGGATATGTAATGGAATACTATTTTCTTTCTGGTTGTCACGTGTCTTGACTTCTGATTTGTTAGTTATCCAATTTCGTACACTCCACTCTCCAACGCAGAGAGTGTTCAAAAACATAGTTTTGCATACAACTATGCGATTGCCTCCAAGTTTTAAGTGATATTGCATAGAAATTGATCGTCTAGAGACTTCATTATCTTTTCTACCTCTGGCTCTCTCCGTTTGTTTAAGATCACACAACATTTGTATATAAACATGTTTCTGCTTCCACGATAATTTCCAAAATTCTTTAAATAATTGATTTCTTTCATCTTCATCAATTGAATAACACATTAATCCTTTTTTGTTCATAGACCGCTTGCAATCATCTTTGTTTGATTTGCCGGTTTTCGCGTTCAATGTTGTACCGCCATTTTCCTTCATCGTCCTTTTTTCTGCCTAAATATTTACTACCCTTTTCCCTTTTTTCTCGTTGTTCTGTAGTAGTCCATGAATCTACAACAGTCTTCTTTCGGTATTTGATTTTCCTTTTATTGCTTCTTTCTTCTTCTAGTTTGTTTTGACCAATTTGAGAATTATTTTCGATTACATTCAAAATGTCCATACTATCTGCCTCATTCTGAATAACGTTTTCTTGGCCACTAGATAAATTTGGTGAAACGTCATCTTTAGTTGGAGGGGCATTATTATTTAATAATTTCAGCTCAACCGCTGGGTCATCTGATATTAAGAGATCTTCTAATAATTCTACATGATTACCTTCATCATTCATAACAACAATTGGTAAACTATCAATATCAAATACGTCATTTGGTTCAAGTGATTCTAAAAAAACTTAAGTTAAATTTACCATTACCATTAAATATACCATTAAATGGTACTGCATCCGCCATCCAGTCCGCTACAAGAACTGGTACTACAACCTCACAATTACTTAAGCTGCTATTCTTAGTTTCCGTACTAGATGCATCTAATTGTATCTGATCTACATCAACTGAAGGTTTTTTAAGTGCCAGTTCAACTAGGCAACAAAATTGAAGAATTAATATAAGTACCTCGTAACTCTATAAATCGCTGTACAATTAAGGCTGTTTGTGAATGGACTATTTCGTTTTTCATAAATTTCAGGCGTAATTATAGTCCGATTTTTTTGAAATTTTGCACATTTGTGCAGTTAACTGTTACTATTTGCGCTGAGATCTCAAAAATTGAATAGTTTTAAAAACAAGCAAAAATTTTTGTAAATAATAGACATACCAAAAATCGAAGATCTCAGCGCGTACTATCAATGAAACATAATAGGGTTTTATGAAATGACAAATTTCCATTTTTTTGTAAATAAATCTGTAATTTATGAAAAAAGGTTTAATTTAATTTTGCTACAGACGGTGCTGCCTCTAGCAGTAAGTATATCAAATTAGTGTATGCTCCGCCGCTTACTCCCACCACTGACAATGCGAGTTGCGAGCACATTCGGTTAGAATTTTTATTCCTTCACCTTCTTTTCTTTATCAATTATCCAGGGGTGGATAACTGTAATGGACAAATTGGTTCAAGGAATTAGTTTGTCAACCAGACGACTTTAGCGCTGCTATCTACCACCTCTTCTACCTTTTATTTAAAATTTAAATAAACCGCTTGCCCGCCACATCACGTGTTGAGATTTATGCTTTCTTAACCTAAGTTTCATGTTTGTGAAAGCGTGTGTGAAAGTTTACGTGTCGTTATATTTTACAAGCGTGTCGTTTTTTTTTTAGGATAAAGGACATTGGCTATTAATAATTAAATAGTGCTTATTATTTTAACAGAAAAATGGTTATTTATTGTTGTGTACCTACATGTAAGGTTAGAAGCGGGCAAGGTATTAAAATGCATCGATTTCCGAAGGATCCACATGTAAGTTTAAGATGTATTATGGTATAGATATAAATATTGAAGTTTTTTGCATTTATTATAGTTACAAACACAGTGGCTTAATGCTATTTCATCTTCCTTACTGCATCAGAAAGATCGAACCTTTATTTATAAAACATACAGGGTGTGCCATAATCATTTTGATGAATCTTCAATCATCCCATGTGGCAGGAGAGGGTCAAATTTAAAATATGATGCTGTACCTGTTCTAAATGTTGGAATATGCAGACAACGCGAGAGACAAGGTATGATACATTCCGCTTCACTGGTATAATTTTCAGTCAGTAAATCACATTAGGATTATAAACAAAAATCCCAATGGATTATTATGAATAGCATATTTTAGCTAGTCAGCTGTGATTCTTTTAGTATAACACATGTGTTTTAGATATGGAAGAAGCAGAATGTTCAACATCTGTATCAACACCACAATGTGAATCCCCTACATTGCCTACAGGTATAGTTTTAATTTCAATGAATGCTACATGTTCGTTTTAGCCTTGGAGGGCAATGTTATTGAATCAAATAGTTTGAATTAATTTGCATATCTTAAATTTACAACTAAAGCAGTGTTCTCTTGAGTCAAATTAGTCAATGTTAGACTCGGTCTTTTCACCTCCCCATAACTTGAATCTCCCGGTAAATTACATGATTACCAATTGTTGACACAATCGTTGTTGTAGTACTTATTGGGCGATTAAATTTACTGGTAGATGAAAATTGTGCTTTTTCAACAAGTTAATTACTATTGTTTCATGAAAACACTGCATAACTGTTTATAGTTTTTGAAATGAAATATTAATATTGTCATTTTTATTCAAAAACTAAACTCATTTGGTTGTAAATTTGAAATCCACAATTTAATTCTGAGTGTATTTTAGAATTCACATCAAGTTTTCCTGTTTGCATTCCAATATCAGTCGAAGCAGGCAACACCTCTCATACTTCATTGCGGAAGTGCAGTTTTCAATCTTCTCGGAAAGGTAATTAATTTCTAATAAGGTATAGTCAGTAAATAAATATGTGGTGGATGAGTTACATAATCTATGTAATTCACTAAATTTCATTTGAATAATTATGCACCATTAATTTAACTCCTTACTTGCAGGTTTAAGACAGAAAATGAACATTTTAAAAACTGGAAAATTAAGACACAGCAAGGATGTTCCGATAGAAGCCCAACAGATTTATAGAGTGGCACAAAATATTAGAAAAACCGCGAAGCGACTGGATCGTGAACTGGCTACAACAAAACGACGTTTAAAAGAAGCACAAAATGTCCTATTATCAGAAGATTTTTTAAAACTAAAGTTAAATGAAACTTCAGCTATTTTTTTTATGGGACAGTTAAAAAATCAAGCCATCTCTCCAAAAGGTAGAAGGTATACTTTGGCAGACAAAACTTTTGCTCTGGCAGTAATGAAGCAGAGTCCGAAGGGATATAAATTTTTACAACTCATTTTTGCATTGCCATCAAGAAAGACGTTGTTAAATTTATTGCACAAGGTTCCCTTTAAAGCAGGAGTTAATGTTCACATTTTTGATCATTTAAAATTAACTGCTGAGAAGATGGATCCTCGGAATAGGTATTGCATTATTATTTTTGACGAGATAGCCTTAGAGCCATCAATTCAATATAATACTGGTGCAGACTCGTTTGATGGATTCCAAGATAACGGTACCGAATCCACAAAGGTTCCAATTATCGCAGACAAGGGTATGGTTTTCATGGCTCGCGGTATCTTTAAAAAATGGAAGCAGCCTCTTTCTTTTTATTTTAATAAAGGAGGCATGAAATCAGATATGATAGCTCATACTTTAAAAACCAACATCATAGCTCCACAAAGCGCTGGATTGGAAGTAATTGGCACAGTTTGTGATCAAGGAGCACCTAATAGGTCCGCTATAAATTTATTGTACTCAGAGACAAATAGAATTTTCAAGTCAAGAGATCAAGAAAATAGATTATTTGGTTTTTTAGTGAATGATAAGGAAATTGTGCCCCTTTATGACCCTCCACATTTATTAAAATGTATGCGGAACCTGCTTTTTGACCACGATATTGAATATGAAATAAAGGGAAAAACTATGACGGCCAAATGGGAGCATATTGCCAACCTTGTTTCCCTTGATCAAGTAGAAGAAGACACAGATTATAGAATGCTTCATAAAATCACAAATCTACATATTCAAAATCGAAAAAAAATGAAAGTTGCGTATGCTGCCCAAATTTTCAGTAAGCGAGTGGCTTCTCTATTACGTGGTTTAGCACGTCTGTGTAAGTATATGAATTGATTTATTTCTCGGTTTATTTATTCTTTTATTAATTTATTAAATATTTAATTTACCTATTTTTTCAAACTAGATTCATTAAAATAATACAGAGTCTTTGATCACTTTTTTAATTGTTACTATCAAACATTACGTAACAGTACCCATATATGATTTGCATCTGCAAGTACTTTTGTAACAATTAAATACAAATATTTTTTTTGCAGCACCACACAACATACCTACTAACGCTACAGAAACTGCAGAGTTGGTTCTTTTTATGGATAAATGCTTTGATAGCGTAAATGGGTCAAAGTATGTGCAAGAGAACCGACTCAGATGTGCAGTTAGCAAGGATTCTCCACATTTCGACTTCTGGCTTGAAGCTTTAAAAGTTTTTGAATCTATGAGATGTTTACGATCTAATGGCAGCAAGTACAAACCCCCAACAATTCATAATTGGGTGCACACCCTAAAAGGGTTTCGGTATTTATGGAAGAAATTCCAAAAAGAAGGTGTCACCTATTTATCCTGCCGGAATATTAATCAAGATCCTCTAGAAAACTTTTTTGGAGCTATTAGAAGCCACGGTATCCGGAACATTAATCCAACCTGCCAATCTTTTACATATTCATTTAGAACTTTGTTATTAAATAATTTAACCTCTGTACATTCACCTAGTGCCAATTGTGAAAAAGACGATTCATCAGTGTTAGATTCCTTTAAAAGTTTGATTAGCGTTCCACAACAAACATCAGATGTGCATTTCGAAGTACCAGACGTTAATTTATCAAGTGAATTAAGTGACCAGTCCTTACAAAGAACTGCCACTTCAACATATGTTGCAGGAAGTGTTGTGAGAAGTATTATAAAACAAATAAACAATTGTGTGTTATGTAAAAAACAGCTTGTGGGGTCGTTAAATGAATTATCTTTGAAAGAGAGATTTATTATTCAAGAATATCAGATAGAAAATAGGCGCCCATTGACAACTCCTTCAATAATGTTTAATACACTATTTCAAACTGCCATTCATATACTTACTGAGATTTTGCCGCAAGTATGTCACAAGCAAAATATAAAATGCGTTTTAAAGGTAATCTTAAAACAAAATTTAAGTTTCACTTGCATATGTCAGGAACATGATTTGTTCGATATAATTTGTGAGAAAATAAGCCTTTTTCATTCTCTTACTTGGGCTAAAAATATAAACAAAATGTAAAGGTGGGTCCAGACTTGAGGGCACATGACCAGAGCGCGCACACATGCGTGTGTTCTCAAGTTGTGTGCACTCAGCTCATGCGGGAAATGCAATTTCTAAGGGCGCACGCATATGCACTCACATTGCTCAGTCCATGCGTACGTGTCGATGAGATAAGATGTCTACCGATGAAGAAATGGTTATGTTGGCTGCGGCAAGTTTTATTTTTATAAATGAAGAAGAAAAGAAGAAAGAACAGAAAACCAAAAAAAGCCGGCGTTGGTGGGTGACACACATTTTCAAACAAAGGAATCGGTTAGGTGGTACAAAATTATTACGCAGTATGCAGCTGGAAGAAGCGACAGGTCAATTTAAAAACTTTGTGAGGATGTCGGCAGAAGATTTTGAATTACTGCTAAACGAAGTTGGCCCTATAATAGCAAAGCAAGAAACAAAATTTAGAAAAAGCATTACCCCTACGGAACGGCTGGCACTAACGTTACGTTTCCTCGCAACAGGGGATTCGTATACAAGTCTACAGTACCTCTTCAAGATATCTAAGCAAGCAATTTCATGCATAATTCCAGAAGTTTGTGCTGCACTCATTGAGGCTCTCAAAAGTTATGTTCAGGTAAGCAAAAGTAACTTTTTATTAAATTTTAACTTGCACAAAAAATTACAAATTCAGAAAATTTTGTGAAGTATCGGGAAAGTCTACGTACGAAACGTAGGAACCCGCCGAAGATGGGCCTGGCGTTGAATTATAAATTGTAGCAGAACTGCTATCAGAAGAAGGCCCAGGTGCAACATTTGTCGAAAAAGTGTCATATTCTCCCATGTCCGCTTTGAAGAGCACATTGTTGATTTCATGCTCGACTATAGCATGGCACCTTTTTGAATATCCTCTTAGCTTATTAGCTACATGTTGGCCATATATAGAAAAGCGATCTTGCAGCGGGTCTTGGTTTTGTTTCGCAAGATAGCGAGTGTGCGTGTCCTGCAAAATTCGAAGAGCTTCTTTAGATAAGGAGTTACTCTCTTCGTGATGTTGTTTTTTTGGTTTTTTCTTGGCCGGGGGTTTAGCATGTTTTGCATTTTCTTTTTCTTGTGTCTCATCTACTTGTACTTCGTCTTCATCTTCCCTGATGACCACCTCACTATCGTCCTCCACCGGAACGGAAGACAGATCCATTTCGCCATTTTCTTCTCCACTACCTTCGGTATCCTGTGAACAATTTTACATTATTAACTTACAATAGTGCGTGTAACCTAGGACAAAAAATGGTATAATAGTATATTTTTGTTTCAGCTGCCTAAAACTGACAACGAGTGGAGGCGTGTTTCTGAAAGATTTGAAAAATCGTGGGGTTTTCCTAATTGTTTAGGAAGCATGGACGGCAAGCACATAGTACTCCAAAGTCCTATAAACAGCAGAAGCGATTACTTTAATTACAAATCGTTTTTCAGCATTGTATTGTTTGCTTTGGTAGATGCTGATTATCAGTTTATGTTCGTTGATGTTGGGTGTCAAGGACGGATATCTGATGGAGGGGTTTTTAAGCATAGCAAACTGCATAAACTTCTTCACACAAATAGTTCGAATTTCCCAGAAGACAAATCCCTGCCAGGAAGGGATAAATTAATTCCCTATGTTATAGTGGGAGATGACGCATTCCCGCTTACAGAGCGTATTATGAAACCTTTTTCTGGTATGTATGAGAAGGGGTCATCCGAAAGAATATTTAATTATCGACTTAGCCGAGCCCGCCGGATAGTAGAAAATGTATTTGGTATACAATCTGCAATATTTCGTGTCTTACGGAAACCTATTTTACTGCAACCAGAAAAGGCAGAACTAGTAGTGCTCACAACAGTTTACCTTCACAACTTTTTGAGGAAATCTGCTTCATCACGAAATATATATACTCCGCCGGGTACATTTGACTCTGAGGTAGAAGGAAAAATAATAGATGGTAGTTGGAGAAAAGCACATGGTGACAACGCTAGCTCCCTCCGGCCTATGCGCAATGTACCTCGCAGACCAACACTTAATGCGTCTTCAATTCGAATTGAATTTTCCGAGTACTTTAAGAGTAATGGAGCCCTACCTTGGCAAGATGAATATGCCTAAAACGTTTGCACTTACCAAATCTTTTTCTGTGTCCAGTGTATCTCGGGGAGCGTCTCGGTCAAGCAAAAAATGCATCCTTTCAAACGCAAACCATTTCGATATGTACACTTCTTGACGTGCTAGAAACAATACATCATATAAATATGTACCTAATAATAAAATGTACTACTTCAGTATTGTTATTTAGCAAACCGCATACCTTTTCCGGTACCAATAGTTTTTTTTCCTTTGCTTTTCTGACTGCGGAAGGAGCCTAGCAGACTATTCATTTTTATTTTCACCGTTTTGGCATCCACATTCATTATTTTGGAGATTTCGTCCCACGCATCATTTTTCTTTGTTTTCGAAAAATAAAATTTATGCTTGGGCTCCCACAACACAGGATACTTTTCGTAGATGTCGATTAGCTCCAAACATTTGTCGTTACTCCATTCCATATTGTTAATTCTAAATAATGAACGTATAATTAGTATAGATAGGTTTATAGTATGTTTGAATTGGATCATATCAACGTGTATTCAAACGTACCTGCTATGATCCGTCGTAATGGCTAATGTAAACTAAACAAACTTTTACAACACGAGGCACGCACGTTGAAAATTACTAAACACGTCAATTTCACCGTCCACACTGAATCGCAACGCACGCACGTTTTCTTTTGAGCGGGTCCAAAAAACCGACAGCCGACGGCTCGCATCATGCGCGCGCGAAGCGGCTCGCGAGTCAAAAAACATACGTTGAGAAGATGCGCGCCGACGTCCACATCTGCATATGCGTGCGCGCTCACGTCATATGCGCTCAGATGTGGACCCACCTTTAAAAGGCAGGAGTGAGAATGTACTCACAAAAGACCCGATCAAAATACAAGCCATGAATATTTATGAAATCAATAAAAAAATTAAAAAAAGGGTGGCAGATTTAAAACATTTAGAAATTTCAACTTGATGTGTATGTTGAAGGTGGTGCTTTTGTAAATATGTTAACAATTGAATAAGCTAAGTTTTACTAAGTTTGTGTGTGTTAATTACTGTGATAACAATCCTATCTTTAAGGTTCTTATATTTAGGTTGTTTAAGCTGGGTTTATAGTTCCCTTTTCGTAAGAACTTTAATACATTTAAGTTTAAGAATTAAGTACTATTTATAGTTTTCATAATGGTGAGAGTGTCACGTGTACATTGCACAGGCTATCCGCCATTCTGTTTATTATTTATAAATTTCATGTATATGCCGCATCTTTTCTTAACAATATTTGAACAAACCATGGTGAGAATGTGAGAATTTTCACTCTAATGGCAAATTCCTGCACATTTTTACCTTAACGTTTGTAATAGTACTTTAAGCGTAACTATAATCAGTGGCCAGAAATATCGCGATAAATGTGTCACGATACTTAATGATTATCGATCGAAGTATTGCGATATGTTTTTAAAAAAAGTATTGAAATCAATATAGCAATACTTTTTTTTAGTGTTGTATCGAAAAACATTAGAATTGACAACTTTTGGTGATTTACGCTACCTCCTCAAAGAGCCCGACATGTGAGCAGTACTCAACGAATAGATCTAGTACTACCTAAAAGCGTTGAGTGAAGAATGTAGTAAGAGGCGCAACGCCTGTAATAAAAATCGTTCCATTTCCCTTCTCGCTTCAACGCACGCAATCTTACCCGTGAGGTTCCAAGTCTCGGTGCCACACGGGTAAGCTTGCGTGCGTTGAAGCGAGAAGGGAAATAGAACGATTTTTACTACAGGCGTTGCGCCTCTTACTACATTTCTTCACTCAACGCTAAAAGTAAAAGATTTAAAGCATACGAAAATATTTTGGTACGTAGTATCGTTCCGACCACTGCTATAAATGCCAATGTGCAACACGTAAGGTTTCAATTGGTAACGACACGGTACTGTGTTACAGGTACGTTAACTATAAATTCAGCTTTACCGCCGTTTTAGAAAACTTTATTTAGTTTAATTACTTTGTGAATAACAGTCCTATCTCTTAAGCTTTGGATATTTAGGTTTACTTATATATTTATAAATAAAACAAGTACCTACTTAAAAGTGTAATAAATTAATAGTGTTTGGTGTTTAATATATAAATATTACAATTGTCTTCACTCTTACGCTAAACCATCCGCTAACACTAAATTGACTAATGTCTAATATGTAAATATTAGTCAATTTCGTGTTACGTGATGGTTTAGCGCAGGAGTGCGACAACTCAAGAAAATGAAATTTAATTTGAATTCAAATTAATGGCGGGAGCGGGATGCTTAGTAATTATTCAACCAGACACGGAGTGGCGCTTTCAATGCCCCAATTTTTTTATTTGAGTTGCCTGTCTATATAATACAGCTAACCTAACCTAACGATCCATTGTCTATGCAATTATCATTATAAGTTTGTAAGTCACAGACGACGGTTGAAAGATTTCGTTTTGGCTTTTGCTCGGGCTATTACAGAATTTGGGAGTATTAATCATAAAATGAGTAAAAGGACTTATTTTGGACGCAAGAAAAGTAAGAGACAGCATGCTAAACAGTAAGTGTGAAGTAATTTACAAGTAGTACCATTGAATTTATAAATTCAATGGTAGTACATAATTAGTCATGAAATAAGACACTAAAATAAGCGTTATCGGTTTTTGTACACGTTTTAAACTGCGGTGCTTTGTATTCGAATGTCCATGAGTCAGAGCGCCTGATTAAATTTTATAATGAATAGCAAATGACAGATTGCCCTTTTCAAAAACTTGTACAAAATTAGTTAAATTTCGTCACCTCGGTGCAATGAAGAATGAGGTAAATCCCAGATAGCATGTAGTTACATGCAGTCTGCTGTAATCATTTTTGTTTGTTGTTTCCTTTTTCCTAATATACCTTTGGGGATTGTAGCGCTTCGAGGAGTCGCTATTATGCACCTTTACAAGATCGTACCAATACAGATCATTTTGAAATTGATGATACAAGGTAATTTAAATCTTAAATAAATTAAAAATGTAATACAAACAACAAAATTTTTATTTGGTTCTTCTAGTGTACACTCTACGTTGCATGAAGCATCTGATATTGTAGATGTTTACCCAGATGGTACGAATGATGGCGAGGAAGATATAAGGTTTTTAATTTTGTTTTTATTGTATATCGTTTAGGGCAAATGGACAACAACTAACATAACAAATAGAGAATTAGTGGTTTGTTTTATGAGGCGGTAATCTTATATTATCCCAGTTGTATTAACTTTATTGTTGTTTGGGGTAGATACAAATCAATAAGATATCTTTATATTATTGCGCTGCGCATGCAAGTTGTCAAATGTTTTAACGAAAATAATTTCAGTATTTACCATAAGAGATTCATACATAAAAAAACAAAAATCGCGCATGCGTGCAGTACTATTATAAAATTTTGAAACAACGCCAACTTATTTTAGTTTGAAAAAAATGTAGTATCTTGCTATCTTAGTAACCAAAAATGGTTGTCGTAAAGAACGTTAACTATGCACGCAAGCGCGCGTGTCAATAACATTTAGATGTTCAGTTGTTATCAATCTGCCGTTTTTGTATTATTTTTGTATTTTTTTTAACATTAAAAAAAAGTAATTTTGACAGTTTTAAAATGGATGAAGAACACATAGATTTTCCAACTGGAAGACGATTAATAAATATTGAACATTTTTTAAAACAAATATTTGAAATGCAGTCTCATGAACCGTTTGGGTGTACTATACATGATATGGTATTAAAATCAGAAAAACGGAACGGTTTGATTAGTACATTTAAATTAGAATGTAAAATGTGCAACATTACCCGCATAATTACTACGGATGATTTAAATACATCTTTGGCAATGGATGTAAACGATGCTGCTGTTCTCAGTTGCATTACAACGGGAGTTGGAGAAAGTCAGTTACTTGAACAACATGCAGCTTTAGATTTACCTAGTCTCACTTCTTATATTTATCGAAAAAGCCATTTAAAAGTGTCTGCACCTATTCGGAAATCTGCATGGAGCTCTATGAAAGAAGCCGGTAAAGAAGAAGCAAGACTTGCTCGCGATCTTGGAGAGGTTACAGAAGACGGAATTCCTATGATAACTGTCATAGCCGATGGAGCATGGTGCAAGCGCTCTTATAAAACTAACTACAATGCTTTATCAGGAGTTGTATGAATATACTGTGTTGTACTTGAGTTTAATTTAATATTGTATTTATTTAGGGATGCATTATTGGACAGAGAACTGGAAAATTATTGTTTCTCGGCATACGCAATAAGTATTGTACATACTGTGAAAAAAATTCCCACGCCAAAATAAAACCAGAGTTTCATACGTGCTTTAAAAATTGGAGCGGCACATCAACCTCGATGGAATCCGACATTATAATAGAAGGCTTTAAAACCTCTATAAAGCTTCACGGATTAATTTTTAAGCGATTGGTAGGAGATGGAGACAGCAGTGTAATGAAGAAGTTAAAATTAGAAAAACCTTATGGAAACACTTTAGTAGAAAAAGTTGAATGTCGCAATCATTTGCTACGAAATTACTGTAGTAAATTGAGAGAACTAGTTCAAAAAAGAAAAAGTTCAAAAGATATCCTTGTTCCTCCTATATTACGTAAATATTTGGAAAAAAATATCATTAGGCTGCGAATCGCCGTAACAAAGGCTGTGGCATATAGGAGAAATACTTCGGATCCAATTGAGAAAAAAATCGAAAGTTTAAAGTCCGACTTAATCAATTCGCCCAGCCATATATTTGGAGAGCATAAAAAATGTCAGTCACTTGGATATTTTTGTGATAAAGACAAACCCGATGAAGATGACAAGGTGCAAGGTTTGTATATTTGTTGCGCATCAGTTATGTTTGATAGGTACTTATGATACATCTTATAGATTTTAAACTATGCGGTTTTTACGACGATATAATGTGCTGTGTGCATCGTTTGGTGCAAAACGCATCAAGTTTGCTCATGGATATGGACAACAACGCAGCGGAACTTTATAATTCTATATTATGCAAATTTGTGGGAGGAAAGCGCATACACTTTGCCTCAAGCGGTGCATACCAAACAAGATGCGAAGCTGCAGCATTGTCGTACAACTGCTCCTATGATTTATACAAAATGCTATATCAATCTCCAGGTAGACACACCAAACAGTTTGTGTCTACTAGATTGAAGCTTAAGGCACAACGAAAAAAATACAAAAAGGCTGCCAAAACTAGGACAGTAACCGCTCCAAATACTTCCCATACATTCGCTGCAGCCGATGAAGATTATGGAGCAATAGAGGACATGTCCCAGGAGGAGTATGGTCGAAAAAAAAACGAATTTTTAAATTCATTGAAAAAAAATGTAAACGAAAGGTTGGCTCTTGAAGTAAAAACTAGAGGTCAAAGCACAAATCCGCTTTGGAAACAAGAGCGATCTTTGCGCCTCACCGCTTCAGTTTTTGGAAAAATCTGTAAGATGAGGCCAACAACATCATGCGTTAAAACTGTGGAGTGGTTACTCTATAAAGATTTTTCTGGAACAGCAGCTACAGGATATGGAGTTGAACATGAACCGATAGCTATTGCTAAATTTTCAGAAGTTACCGGTTTAGATGTTCAAACATGTGGTCTATTTTTGCATAAAGACTATCCTTATTTGGCGGCTAGTCCAGACGGGTTAGTAGCAGACAATGGACTACTTGAGGTAAAATGTCCCGCTTCAGCCGCAAAGTTATCCATCGTTGAAGCTATTCAAGAAAAAAAAATTAAATTCCTGTCTTTAGACAGAAATGGAGAGGTCTGCTTGAAAAGTGATGATACATATATGTATCAAATACAAGGACAGATGGAGGTATACTTTGTTTCAAGGGTGCTGAACCTTTCGTCACACTATCTGACGTCATAGCAAAATTAAGGCAGGTCGTAAATTAGTAGTTGGTTTACATATTGTCACATTGACGTTTCAACTTATTTATTAAGGTGTCACTATCGTTCATCATTATTAGACCGCCCAAGTTGACAATCACTTGTAGGTTTTATACCTAATGGTTAAATGGTCATGTATTTTATGTAGAGGAAGTCCGTTGGTATGAATTAAACCTTTTCCACCGTTTGTAATCACCTCATGTAACCGATTCTTTGCACCGACAATCCAAATGGATACTGCCAGAGCATCCGAAACTCTTTGAGATGAAGTGTATGATGGTTACAGAAAACGCATAGGAACATTTGTAACTTAAAGTTTGTTTAGGCAGTTCGTAAATTAATATTTTGTTTACATAATGTTGATGTGAAATTAAGTATGCTACCAATGTGAAGAATACGCGTTAAGTTGCGCGAATTTTAATGACCCTTAACTAGCCATTTGCAGAAGTAGAATAGGCCATGGTTTATCGGTAAGCCTTTCGCATTTATACATCTTACAAATTTGAGATAAAGCGTAGTCATTATATACCACTGGCTCATTGAAATAACAACGCATACATACAGTTTCTGTTCTTTTGCCACACAGTCGAGATATTCGCATAAGGATCTTGAATATCTTCTGATCCGATTTATTTAAAAAAAAACGCAATTGTGAGAGAAAACAGGTAGTGAAGAAAAAACTCTCAAATGTTCATATTCAAATCGTATGTACAAAAGAAAAAACGACACTACACCACAAATCCATCTTCTGATCCTGCATGGAGTATTAGGTATATACCGGACCCCTTCACCACTTCTTTTTCTAACTGTTTTGAGAGTACCATCTTGCCAGCTTCTTCTAAAAGACCCTTTACTGTATATCCAGGTTTCGTCTAAAACCACAGCTCGTAATGCAAAGAGTGAAGTTTCGTTGTGTTTAAAGTCTCTCAAAAATTGTAGTCTTCTTTGAACTGCATAGGGCTGTTCCATTAAAAATAATCTATTGGAAACGGTGCATCTCCGCCACGTGAATTTCAGTTTCTTCAAACTGCGGGACAAAGAGGTAGCAGATATTTCTACGCCATCAAGTCGTTGAAGATTACTGTGTAAGGAACGGAGTGTAACATTCTCACCTATAAAATCAATTCAATACCTAAGTGTTCTGGCGAACATCTTCATTCTGTGTATCGGTTCGTCATATTTACCTAATGGTAACGGGAATGACCTAAATTCATGATATGAGCGAATCGAACCATTATGCGGTAAAATTTTTAAAATACTTGTCTATTAACGGCGTTGCTGCACTGTCGACTTGCCTAAGCGTTTTTAACTTTGATGATATTTACTTCACTTTTAACACAAACTACCTAATCAACACTGGAAATCTGTCTATAACGAAAATCGTTTGACGGATTGATATTATGACAGATCAATTGGTTTATTTGTCACGACTTACGTTAATGACGTAATTTTTTTGTCTCAATCGATTTAAATGTAATGAAGAGAGAATCACATTTATGACGTCAGGTTCAGCACCAGTGAAACAAAGTATATGCCAAAAAGACCACTGTTACTTTGTCACTTGGACTCCTCTAGATTTTAAAATTTTGAAGGTAATTTTAAAATAAAAAAAATTATATTTACATGACCATTTTAGATATCGCGGGACAATACGTTTTGGGAAAGTAAAATGAAAAGTAAATTATCAAACTTTTATGAAACATGTCTTCTCCCCGAAATTATCGACCCTAGATTTCCTAGGAATTTATCCATAAGGAACCCTGAACGATAATTATTATTTTAACACTTTTCTTATCCGAAGCGTGGGTAGGCAAAAATTTGTTACGACTTTATATTTATTTTTGCATTTTAGGGAGTTTGTCGAGGTGGATACAATTTCATTTACTTTGCACATTTTAATTGAAACTTCAAATCGCATATACATTTAGCAACGAATTACAAGCAAAAAAGTCAACGCATTGCTTTCCCAATGCCAATATACGTGAAAACCGCGGAGAAGGGTTTCGGTACTATTCGGATACTGTACGGAATAAAAAGGTACATTCTAATTGACTAGCGCGTATTACATTGGTTCTTGTCTTTCCGCCTTAATTCTGTATTCCCTTTACCGTTGCCCCGCAGGTGCAAGTCGAATGATAGTTACAAACAACCTTAAGTAAAATGACATAATGAAAAACCTCGTAACTCCATGAGAAAATAAACAGCAAAAATTCGTTATTATTATTATAACAATTTGTACATTTTTATAACAATTTCAAACATTAGACATACCTAATACAGCAGGATAACTATGGCAACGCACACTTATGAAAATACCGCCAAAAAGAGCAAACAAACATCAAAACAGTCTGCACCCTACCATTTTAATGTAAACTTGTGGAGTTACGAGTGTTTATTAGTCAGCGGCATTCACAGAGGAGTTACGAGGTTTTCTTGCTAGCTGCCAATTTAAATATGAAATTTTTTGGAGTTGCGAGAGTTTCTTAAATTATAGATGATACTAATAGCTACGAGATGGCATGAATATCTCATTTTCGTATTTTTTTGGAGTTACGAGGTATTCTTGTGTCACCGACGATTTATAATGAATGGCCATAATAGGTTAATTACCTTTCCTCTTCATCAGTTGCTACTTCAACTAGTAGTACAATGTTTGGATCCATTTATGTTTTGAATTATTATGTGTATTATAAACAAGTCTTAACTATACTTATCAATGTTGTTGGATCTAACGTGAGCTTATTTCAAGGCGTTCCCTATCAATGGCAGTTAACAAGATATTGATAAAATAATCAGTATTGACAACTACCTGAATCACACAAGTTGCCTACATTGATATTTTGAACAATTATTGATTAGTTGTCAATTTTGTTGAGTGAACAAGCATCACCTGAATAAGGGTGTTAGATCCCTTAAAAGTACCGCTTGAGTTATGTAACATCTGAGTTGCCACATTCCGACGTATGTTTAAACGTAAGGGTGTGTTTGTAAATATGTATCACTTTATTGTTGGCATTGGCACTGAGCGTAACTTAATTAAACGGCATTAAGTATACTCTGCATTTTAATATTAATCCAATAAGATTACTATTAAATAGAAAGGTAATGACATCCGTTGTATTATTTCAATACAAACAAAAACCTAGCCTATCTATTATGTTACAAAGCAGACTAATTTAATGGGATTTAAATGATTGATAATTGGCATTCTTTTGTCTAAAGTTATGGTAGCCCTTTACACGACATCAGCACATTCCTTCGATAAGGAAACTTATAATTATATATAATACTAGCTGACCCGGCAGACGTTGTCCTGCCCGAACGCTGACTTGCCTACTAATGGGGGTTAGGACTTCAGAATTTGTGATACCAATTCTGTAGGTTTGAGTTCAGATGACCCAACAGTCAATGCACGACAGAACCCGAAAGAGAGACGAACGTATACGAGAATGAATCACACTACAGATATCACTAGAGCTGTGCACTTGGCCTTGGCGTAGTTTTAGTCTGCTTGTTAGTGTGCATTGGAAATATGGACCGATTTTGCGGTATTTGTGGGGCACGTAGGCAGATGGAATTCGATTCTATATTGGGTATGTCAAACTATATCATGTGTATATGCCTATAGCAATATATTATTGTTCTTTATAGAAACGTGTACGAAATGCAACAAAGCACCATTTATTTCGTCGTATGAAATGAAGTCAACAGCAGTATTGCGAGATTTGCGGCCATACCGTGGAGAACAGCAAGCAATAGAAAGATTGAAGAAACGGCGAACGCAGTCCACTTCAAGTGAAATTGTGTCAGTTTCGCCGTCAAAATTTTCAACATCTTCAACACAATCCCTATGGTTATGGTGTGACGATGATATAGATCGCGCCTTATCGCAAATAGCATATGCCGATTCCGACAATGCGGACGAAAAAGAACGAAGGGAAGAAGAGCAGAAAATAAGGGAAACGAAATAGACGTAGCAACAGAAAACGATATAAACGTAGAAAATGTTTAAAGTGTATTATTAAGTATACCTATCTATAATGTAATACAGTAAGAAATATAATTTTATTCATGTAAGTATATTTTCATTTTCATTACTACTTTTATAAGAATATCACTTTTAATATAGTTATAGTTAATAATGATGTAATAATATTTTTTATCTGCGTCTGTAGGATAACTCTCACTTATCCCGGTCATTTTAAGTGGGATAAGAACTTCATTACCGCACTCAGTGGGATAAGCCCTTGTCAAAACAATGTATGATCAAAAATCAACTATCAAGATTATATATTGTAAACATTAACGCCCTCGTATGCGCAATTGTCGCATTCGTAAGTTAATGAGGCCGTTATCCCACTGATTAAATAAATAACTATTAACTGATGTTTATCTGAACCACAATTAACCTACATTACTTCCTGTGACATCCGAATTTTCTTAATTGCAATGCTTTATGATACACGACATTTTTTGTTCTGTTGTCTGGCCCGTAAACAAATAAAGCTGATGGTTTCCGCGTCGGGACGCGGGACCAGGCAACATACAATTGACCATGCGAGAAGCATGGATGTTCAAGGTTAATGCCGCAAACACTTAATGACTGTCCTTGTGACTTGTTTATCGTCATAGCGAATGCAAGACGCACTGGAAACTGCAAGCGTTTAAAATCGAATGGCATGTCGGTCGAAATCATTGGAATGCGAGGTATCAAAACGTGTTCTCCTTTGTACTTTCCTTGAAGAATTCTTGCTTCGATGATGTTGTTCATCAGTCTCTTCACCGCAAGACGGGTGCCATTACAAAGACGTGGTTGGTTGATATTTCGCAACATTATGATTATCGATCCGACTTTTATAATTGGAGATTATGAGGCGGCAATCCGGGCAGCTCCAGCGAGTTTAAAAATTCGGTTGGATAGTTGACGATATCATCTTCCTTAGTAATGGAATCTATCGATTTGTATGTCATCAATTCGCCAGCAATTTCACTTTGAATTTTGAAGTTCAATTCGTTGACATCAATGTTTTTGGCAGCCAATATAGCACGGTTACTCAACCAATCATGATTTCTGTAATTTTGAGCAATGTTTGGGTACACCTTTTGGATTGGAGTTCGGTCTTCGACTCGGTGAACTGACAAAAATTTACGGGAAATGTAATGCTAAACGTGAAAACAACGTTTACGATAAAATTCTGATACCCAGCTACTCAGGTCGGTGCGCAATGATCGTAGGCAAGGACAATTCATCTGTAATAAACAATAACATTCCGACAAAGAATTAACTTCCTTAGTAAAATCAGTTTTTATTTAGAATTGAAAATGATTTTCGTTGGCAAGTAGTGTACATGTAAATAAATAGTTAAATTGTAATGCGATTCGTGAAGATCAAAAATTAGAACAACCGCTATAAATTCAATATGGCCATATTCGTACAGAGAGCGTCGTATATAAAAAATAAGTAGTTGGTTTGAATACAATATGTACCAATGGACAAGTAGCCAAATTTAACTTTAATTAATAATAACTTCTAGAACATTAGAGAAAAAAATCAATACCTATAGCTGCCAACTTCTATACAACAAGTTGTTCTTGTCCATGGTTTGAAAAGAAATTACAAACTTCTCTGAAACTGAAATGAAACAAATTCCAAAACTACATACCAACGGGACTGATTTGATTGGTCTTTCATTAAAGGTAAGTTTTCTTCGCACCCGGAGTATTTATAGGTGAGTTGGTAGAACACCCACAGAAGTTTGAATTTTTCGGAAGGTTTTTCCAAATCCAAGTGAATCTGGGCTCGCTAACACCCAATAGACTGGTTCACTTTTATAAAAAGCAGCGTTTTAACAGGTTCTAGGGGCATTTCAGACAACATTTGGCCAAATAGGCGTTTTTTACTAATTTGGACCTGCTGAACACGAATATCGATGTTGGCATCTCGAAATCTGAACAGGAAGTTCAGAATTCAAGATGGCGGCCAATTTCCGAAAATGTTGATCTTTTCACTCATGCGACCGATTTTCTCGAGCTAAAAACGGATTATAATGTTATTCCTGACGTACGTCACGATAATAATAGTTAACTATTGTTTTAACAACAATGTAATAGTTTTTTTTACCGGCAGGATGCGTAAAATTAAGAATTACGAAATTCCTAGCTCTCGTTGCCAAAAGGAGGACTTGCAACACGATTGTTTCTAGTAATCCTGACACATATAAATATTCCCGACATGCGAACCCGGAAGTCAACCAGATAGTGTTTCAAAAGCGCTCTTCTTTACTGTTCACGCTGGGTACCATACTCCTCAGCGAGAAGATATATCTTTTGCAAAAATCTTCGTGACAAAACTATACAAGGTTGGTATCATAACTAGGTACACGAAACTTCACTTGTTCAGAATATCGACCTTGCTCGCATATTTTAGGAGGCGTCTTTTCCTCTATTTAGGTAGCTGATACCATAGTTTCCACCGACGGTGCCCGTCCCGCTTAGTTCGGTAGGGAGAAGTCTCTACCAGACGTCCGTTTGGAAGAATGCGCACGTCCCTGGCCCCATCTCGGTTAATCAAGTAGAACTTCCCAGAGTGGAGAAGTATTGCCAGGTTTCAGGAGCTGCGAAGCTTTAGATCTAACAATTCTGAACTCCATTCTCTTGGGATTCCATCTAATCTTTTCTAGCATTTCATCCATTTCCCTAATTACGGCATATCAGGTGTAAATCTCAAGAGGTAGTTCTTTGACCTTAAACTCTGAAATGTCGCCCAGACTAGCACATCTATCCTTGATTTCCTGGGGAAAGAATTGAATATGGCTACATCCCCATTCCAACAACGTTACATTAATTCGGAAAGCTGCTGTAGATATCGTCCTTTGTGGTTGTCAATAGGATTGCTGGTCAAAACTTTGTTAATGTTGCAAGGCTCAACTGATTTGTACTACCTATATTCTCAAGAAGACGATTGACCTAACACCATGAAAATAAGATAAATTTGTCTTCACTTTTCTATATGCTTTCATACTTGAACAATAATAATATATCCTGAGTAACGGTAATTACTACCTAGCAAAATAAGAATCTTCCGAAACACCGCAGTTTAGTTTAACTCCTTCATTTTTTTCATTTAAAAATTAACGTAAAATTCGAAAGATTGTAGTTATCAAAACTTTATAAGGAGAATTATGCAATATAAACGCATGTCGGAAATACTTATATGTGTCAGGATTACTAGAAACAATCGTTTTGCACGTCCTCCTTTTGGCAACGAGAGCTAGGAATTTCGTAATTCTTAATTTTACGCATCCTGCCGGTAAAATAGTACATTATATATCAAGGGAGAGAAGTACAGTATTATTGCCTGAGCACCAAGATTACATCTCGAGGCGCTTGCGCAGAGGGGTGTAAGGTGCGAAGGCAATAATAGACTTCTCTACCGTGGTAAGTATATATACTATTTTTTTCACTACTAGTACTTGAAATCCTCTAAATTAACATATTATATTGATAAGAAAATGAACGGTTGACAGAATTTTTTGTTTATTAATTTAACATGTCAATCAAGTACGTAGAAGTAGGTACAAGTCAAATAGGCCGTATTTTGTTCTGTCATTGAGATATTTTCAAAGAGTAATTTCGTTCGAATTTTTTCAAAATGTGCTAATTTTAAGTAAGTAATATATCTGGAAATGGCTGATGGTGGCAATTATTCTTTTTAGAGAACTTGTCTAAACGTTTATTGAGCGAAATTTCGGGCTGTGTTTTCTAAAAGTGACAGCGTGACAGTTCTCATTATTGACTACTAGTTAATAATGTCCAAATTATTAACCACTTTATGCGACTGGCCGAATGACAAATAGTCCAAGCCAAAAAAAAAAAAAAATTAACCACTTTGAACAAATGCCGAGAAAGCCTACTTTACAAGTGGAAAAAAGGTTAATAATCATGTCATCAGACGCTAGTAGTGAAAAAAAACTATTACATTATTATTAAAACAATAGTTAACTATTATTATCGTGACGTACGTCAGGAACAACATTATAATTAGTTTTTAGATCGAAAAAATCGGTCGCATGAGTGAAAAGATAAACATTTTCGGAAATTGGCCGCCATCTTGAATTCTGGACTTCCGGTTCAGATTTCGAGATGCCAACATCGATATTCGTGTTCAGCAGGTACCAATTAGTAAAAAAAGGCCTTGTTGGCCAAATGTTGTCTGAAATAGGACAGAAAAACTTCGAAAAGTGAACCAGTCTACAACGAAAAAACGTAGAAACTCAAACGTGCTGTTTTATCGAACTCCCCGCAACGTCAGTTCGTAATTCTGGATCCAATACCAATTTTACCAGATAATAAATTGAGTAAAAATAAAAGGCTAAAATTGTATGCATGAACAAAACGAACGCTCAACAAAAAAACTTACGATTTGATAACAAATCCCTTTTTCAATAATCCTCGTCGGACTCAAATTTCAACGAAATTTCGGTAAGCAATAACGTGCTTCTTTCAATGGCAATTATATGCGCTTAATTCAATTAAAATTTTAGTAATCTAGAACGTAATTACTTCTTAACGTCTTTACACGTTCAAAGCTATCAAGGAAGTGTCCGCTTATCGTTCGGAAATTTGGAGTCTCTTCAAGGATTTCTTGATTTCAAATAATTTAAATAAAATAGAAAATGTATTACACTGTTAAACTCAATTCATTTTACACTGTTACATTAATTTGTTACAATGCAACCAGTCGAAATATCAACGGGGATGTTGCCATTGCCAATGTCCAACAATTGTTTTGAAAATAATTCTCCAGCTTGATCGTTCTGCAACACGACACGCATGTTCATATTTAATTTGAGAACCTTGACGTGTTTCCACCAAACGGACGACTTCAAACATGCATTAAGTTCATAGGCTGGCGTTGACCGTGGAATCACCGGTAATGTTTGACGAAAATCACCTGCTAAAAGAATCATCGCTCCACCAAACCGGTGTTGATTGTTTCGTAGATCTTGCATTGTTCGGTCTAATGCCTCTAAAGACTTTTTATGCGCCATTGTACATTCATCCCA